CCGCAGCCTAACAGTATAAAAACATAGGCTTCTTTATCCCACAGTGAGTGAGTGAGTAAGTGAGTGAGTGAGTGAGTGAGTGAGTTGGGTTTAACGCCGCTTTGAACAGTACTCCAGTTATATCACGGCGTGCCAGCTTGACATGGGAGGGAAGCACGAAGTGATGCAGGTCTGAGACGTTTACCATTTCGGCGAAACCGACAAGGGGTTATTGTGCTTTAGTCCACATAATAATGTTCACAGCATGATTTCACCAATCATATGTCAAACTGCAGAACTCCTCTTTTTTAACACATGTTTAAATTGAAAGTGTGCTTTTAGACATGTTCCAAAACTACTATATTCTTTAGCAGGACGTATACAATATTTGACATGTTGACACGCATGGAAACTAGTTCACGTTAATGAGGCCATTTCTGTAAAGCTGAACATAATTTCTTATGAAGTACTCAATCGGCTCACCTCATGACATCTTAAGGGATTGGGGTAAATCCATAGTGGCTCTGGATTCACTAGTTTCACTAATTCACGTGACTATGACATTTCACAATGCAATCTGCAGCTGGCCTGTGTCATTACACTTATAAGAAAATTGCTCGATATCACATTGTACCCCACTTTCTACTCAATATCGACCGTCATGTACGAACTGTGTGCGAGTGGTAACTCGCTATGCAGTTTACAGGGATACCAGGCTAAAATGACCTCTCCATTTCTTTCTTCGGACTTTCTTTTTCATTAGACTTGTTGAATTCAATTTATTGTTTCTCATGACCGTCCTTAAAATAGCTTATTTAAATCAAAATTATTATTTATTTTAAGCAGTGTTAAGAACAGACCTTTCATACATAATTTCGTTTTTGCACCGAGTCCAATTTTTCTAATATGCCCATTCGTGACCAACTCGTGTCATTCCGGGACAAGCCGAATAGCGACTCGTGCCCCTCTCATGCCCATTTTGGCGACCGGGTTCCGTCCTAGCGCAAACGGGCATACCTAAAACAATTGCCAACTCGTTGCGTAATGGTTCATATATATTTCCCCATATAGTATATATATTTCAAATGCAATTTAAAGCACATCGGGATATGCGGAATTATACAGTATGATTGAACACATTTAACTGTGTCTCGGGTATATATTTAGACATATTTAAAATCAAAAATTATTTCTGAGGGATTCTTTGACGCAGAACTTGAAATCATACGCGCTTTCGTATTGGTTTGTCGTATTTTCGCGCATAACATTCATCGATAGGGGGGACGAGTCTTCTTGCAGGCTACGGAAAGGGGCGAGTGGTGACGAATGCTAATATGCCATGTATGGTGTATCAGATTAGCAGGCGAAGTTGCTCGTGATCACCATGGCCTCAGACCGTGCCTTTGTATAGGGTTTATACTTCGAGCCGCAGGAATCGTCGTCAAAAGAGGTGACATGGTACGTAAGAATCAAGTTTTTTTAAATGGATTTAATAAAATAAAATATAATCCTCATTCCCTACTCATTTCATTTTGAAAAATGCCTCGAGAAACAGGAACATGTTTAAAGCTAGCCTGGTGTACATTGTAGGTTACGGAATATGCCGAGTGGGGCCGATTGATCCGATTTGTGAGTCAGAACAGACAAAATCATATCAACAATGACAACAATAATATCAACACGAGTATCAAATGAAACAAGAAATATTCCAGCTATATGGCGGCGGTCTGTAAATAATCAAGTCTGGACCAGACAAATCAGTGATTGACATCATGAGCATCGATCCACGAAATTGGAGTACGATGGCAAGCATCAACAAAGTCAGCGAGCCTGACAACCCGATCTCGTTAGTCGCCTCTTACGACTAGCATGCGTTGCTGAACACCTAATCTACCCCGGATTTTCACGGTTGAAGCAAGCAAAGTGTCAATTTACGGTATGTATGGGAGGGGGTGGGGAGGTGGGGGTCTTACCATTGTTTATGTACAATGCACTGTTTTGGACCAGTGAGGTTATCAATGCACAGTTTAGTAATACACTGCCTGCTACGTTCCACTATTTGTGCCAAAATAATGCATATCGTGAATCATAAAACACCATAAGGATATGAGATATTACTTCCTCAATCTACCGAATGTAAAATTGGAGGAAAGAAACGAATTATATCGATAACATCCTGGTTGCAATTGCGGTACGCATGGCCCTTGATCTATTTATGAGTCGTTCTCTGTAACTCAAGATAAAGGGCAAGGAAAACTCTAAAATGAGAAACTGATTTAATGTAACCTAGTCTTGTTTTCCTCTGATACATGCTGTATAAGGAACGCAACCGTGACATATTTTCCGCCGCGCATCAGTCGTTTTAATAAGTAAGGACCTTGTACTGTCGTTTTCCAGTTTCCTCAAGCTTTTAAATAACGTAACATATCACTGATCACACTGTTCTTTGTTGTTAGAATCTCGTTGTCCACAAACATTTTCTGAAAAAAAGTCAACACTTGCAGTTCTGGCATTTGACTCTCAGGAAGAAAAGGCAAGAAGAAAAGAATGTTTGAAGGCAAAATCATATATTACTCAAAAGAAGTTTAAGAACACCCGATCTTGTCATATGACTATAGTTTATCTGTCATGGCTATGGTAGATTAAATAAAGTAAAGTAAAGTAAAAAAATAGGTAATCTAAAATTCTTTTGAGCAGTATACAGGTCATGACAGATTAACTACAGCCATATAAAAAGAGTGGGGTGTTATCGAACATGTTTTGAGTAGCATATTGGTACACATATCGTTTATTCGTTAATCAGGACGATATATTTTGCAACGGTACCGTTCGAATTTAATTAGCTACGTCGTGAGGTCTTATACACGATGCATTATGTATAGCTTCTAGTCTCACTATATCGGGGAGCATGGTCACATGCTATCATTTGCCACAGGGCAGGATAAACGTTTTGGGAGGTAGTTTTTACCGTTTTGTTAACTGAGTAAGGCGACACTTCGTAAATGTTTTGGTTCACTGAACGACTGACCAGAATCAATAGCTACCGGCAAAAAATAACAATTTTTAATTGAAGATTTTATTTGCTAGCACCTTTCTTTATCGAATTTTAATTCATGAAACTGAAATATGTAGCATTTTGTCAAATAAAAGGAAGTTGTACAGTAATATTTTTGGATAGTACAAAAAAAACATCTTTGCCGGAAATGAATGCTTATAACTGAATAGACATTATACATCCTCTTTATACAACGCTGACAGGTATTCCCTTTAGTATCCATACCCCACTGAACCGCGCACCCACCAGCACGAGGTAATGTCAAAAACTCTCCAGCTTATTGTTTATGTTTTCCACCTAAGCTAGCCTGGTAATGACAAAATATCGCAGTTTGTGCTTATTCCAGGAGGGCCATGTTCTGCAATGGCTTAGCAGCATGAGAGAATGAGTTATAATATGACGTGTCGCCCCTAGGAATTGACCATCTATATGTGATGAGTTACAGGAGACAAGTATGGATGTAAAATGATGAATATGTACACCTCGCAATGATGTTAACAAAACATATATGTTTGTCACGAAGTTGAGATCAGAAGGTTCGTCAAAGTATGAATATATTATTCTATCGTTATGACACATTCACAACCCTTTGTCATCAGTATGTAAGTGCACGCAGGTCATTGTGACATGTTCTCAGTGAGTGAGTTCAAATTTAACCTCGCAACGGCATAATTTCAGTCATATAGCCACATGTTCACAGTCTGCATATCATTGTGTCCTATGGTCAAACCATGTATTCACAACGCGAAAGTCAAATAATGTATTAATTTAACATTTTTACAACCATCACATCGTTCTCATATGTTCCTGGCCCCATTCCAATATAATAACAAGCATGTTTTTGTGATATGTTCACAGCTCATATGTATTTGTAATATGTTCGCCGTAATGAGTTGAATCATATGTATTCCATCCCATACAATCCGTCAATTTTGTTTTCAAACATACTAACAAACCATTATGATAATAGTTTTAAAGGATTTGTAAACAGATTTTAAAAAGAGCTTGTAGCGATTATCAAATACATAAAAGAATTGCATATTGTAAGAGATGGAAATTGAAAAGCGTTATTTCAGTCAAATAACATCAGACTGTGTTCCAAGTAACATATTTCTTCGACCGCATCGCCACTGCAGATGTACTGCGCACTGCGTATAATATAGGACAAGGATGTTGAATATGTTCGTAAATAAGTATCTCACTTGAAAACTGTCATTATGCCTTGATCATCACAGCATCACAGCAACCCCCCCCCCCCCCCCCCCCCCCCCCCCCCTCCCACCACCACCACAACCACTCACACGCACAATCATTGTCGCTAGTTCTCAAATACCCTCTTGTCAAGCTGTCATCACTCATCCGTGCCCTCGACCATGAGAATAGCTATCACAATAATTCCTTATTTCTGATGTATTGACGCCTAACGTCGTTGTCAGGGAGGAGAGTGAACGTCTTCATTTTCGACGACATGGACAGCGTACATAAATGTGGACTTTTAGGCGATGGATAGAAGATACATGTGTGTCACCACGGCTAGGTCTCCTTGATGTGTCCTGGTGTTGTATTACAGCGTTGGTTGATTGTAAACTGACCTTGTTGATTTACTTGTGTTTGTATTTCAAGAGGGTATATGGAGGACGGTGGATGATATTTGAGTTTTGTATGGCCGTGATAGGTTTATAGTTGGGCTTGTAACTCATAGTGGCAACAGGATTTATAGTTAAATTTTCTCATCATAATCGGGGACTGATTTGTGACTTTGAATCATTAAATTTACAACTGTCTGTGTTGACACACACGTCTTTGAATATTACGTACATCACAATAACCTAATTTCAAACAGTTCTCAACTGAGAAATCTTCCGGGTTATAATTACTGCTTGTCGATCTCAGACAATGTATTGATTGAGGAGTATCAATAATGTAATCCAGTGTAATGATAGAAAATAACGAAATTCAAACTTACTCGAGTTGAAGAAACTGGCATAATCCGACGCTAAGACCCGCTGATCCGAAATTCAAGAACATGTACTGACCCACAAACACTCCGCGTGGAGGAGAAGGCGAGTGTCACATGCGCCCAGCCTCAGTGAAATCTGTCCGTCAGTCCTCATATGCCGCGCGCTTCACACAGCAGATGTCGTCTGCTGCAACATACCTATCGTCTGCGCGGGACGTGTCAGTTGCCCTGTGTATATACACACATATACTGAGTAGCCGTGATGGACAGACCTATGAACAGACGTTCCCGGGGTCACTTAGTTCATCGTAGCGACAGCCAAGGCATGCATGTGTGTGTTGAATATTGCAGTGAATGAAGCCATCATCCATTGATGGGGAATTTACATCCCACTGATTCGCGGGAAAGACGTGGATGCAGCCAAGTGAGAAGATAACCTCCCGTCAAGGAGATTCATGTGTCAATAGGCACTCTATGGCAAACTAGGCAGTACAGCGCAAGGGGTACCAGAGGCAGGATCGACCGGTCATATGCGAGCTCTTTGCTCTTGAGAAATGTATGGCCCACCCAGTCGTTATGTTTTTTTCCCATGACTGGTAGTTTTGAGACAAAAGAGAACAATATCGTTGTCGAGATATCACCTTGTTTACTACCATGTATCAGTTTGTAGATGTATCACAATAGCATACGGGAAGTAATTATGTTGCACTCGGTGACATACAGGTATAACAATACTAGACTTTGAATATATCTTAATAGCATCAAGGCTGTGACCAAGTAATGGCGCCGGTTTGGGGCATATTTTAATGGCATGGTTTATTAAGTCTCAAAAATAAAGTCATCTTATTTAAACATATATTAATCTACAAAATACAAAATAACATCCAAATGGAGCCCAGAACAATGCTTTAATTATGCCTAGAGTTGATGCAATCAAGACTTGCCAAATCATTCTAGACTTGAGTTAGATTATTTTATAGTTTATTCTCCAGGGTTTTGGAAACGTGTTACAAAGAGCTGTGAATATATCACATTAACATGCCAGATATGGTATATTGAATGGGGTTAGGAATATATGAGAACGACATGTTAGCTGTAACGTTGTAACATTCATTGATGTTTTGTGAATACATGGGTTTGAACATACGACACAATGATATGCAGGCTGGGAAATGTCAGTGTGACCTCCGTGTTGTGAACACAGCTACATACTAAGGGCAAAGGGCTGTGAATGTGTCATAACGTGACAAACATATATGTGTTTTGACATCAGTGCTATGTACACATATTCATCATTTCACATTCCTGCTTGTCTACTGTAACACATCACATATAGGTGGTCAATGCATATGGGACGACTCATCACATTATAACTCACTCACTCACTCACTCACTCACTCACTCACTCACTCACTCACTCACTCACTCACCCACCAACCCATCAACCCACCAACCCACCCACTCCCTCCCTCAGCCACCCACCCACCCACTCACTCACTCACTCACTCACTATAGGATACATTTCAAATTCCGAACTCAATGCTTAATATCAATAAGGAATAAAATACCAATAACGTGAATGATATTTCCTTAATTTCGGAGCTAGATATGCATTTAAACTAGCTGATATGCAATAATTATCATAAAATGGTTCACAAACTCACAAACCCATTGCCGCGTGATTCCGATAAACAGTTTACTGTTTTAAAAATACACATAATTTATTTTCCTAAGTTTCACGAATACATATTCTATTTCCCTGACCAGTATAACTCAGCGTCCCGCGAGACTCGTTCACCTTACCGTAAAGCGTTGTAAATTATGCATATGCAGAAAGCAGTGGCCCGTATTTATATCGTATTTTTGAGATGCATAAACTGCTGACTGAAAAACGCGCAGATCTCAATCAAGCCATAGAGCTTCATGGGTGACACCCAAACCCCAGTCATACCTGGTGTATATGATAGATGGGTGCGTCAATTGTTGCATTCCCCTAGTGTACACGTAGAATAACATTTGTTCACAAATAAAGGGGATATAGTTTTTCTCAAGCAATGGGGCCATCGGTTCACAGATCCGCACGGCGATCAATGAAATAACCATGTCCCCATGCAGCTATTCAAATGTGTGCAAATTGTATGAATACAAATGTGTTCACATATTTGTGTATACGAGCCAAACGAATGTACCGAAAGTAGGTACATTTTCTACAGGAATAACTTTGCGTCAGTGTAAGGTTAAGTTAACTATACATTTGACACAAAGAGTGAATGAGTGGGTTTAACGCCGCTTTTAACAGTATTCCAGTTATATCACGGCATGTCAACTCCATGTGGGAGGAAAGCTGGAATTGATGCAGGTCTCAGACGTTTACCACTTCGGTGAAACCCACTAGTACGGGCATGGTGCTGACAAACCTAGAAATATAAACGGGGCGAACCGGGATTCGAACAATCATGGGTTTCTGGTGTGCCCAAGGGACGCACAGCGAATCGCGGCGCCTTAGATAACTGGGCCGCCCGGGCCCCCTTTGACACAATGAAGCATATACTGGGGCATGTGCTTAAAGGGGGACTACATTTCATTCAATTTGTCATTTATCCAGGTCCAGTTAAATGCCTAGACGTTGTACTTAGTGCCATGTATAAAAATTAAAACACTAATTATCCAGTTTGAGATACATCGTAAAATTCGAATTGGCAGAAAAACAATGTGGGCTTGGAACGATTTGAATCATACTTGAAGGTCTGTTCATGTACTCAAACACACACTTTAAGACTTCGATTTTCACACCAGTATATTCCGGACTGGAACGGTTCCTATGGTGTCTCAAGGGGGGAAGTAAAACACGTAGGGCTTACGACAATCTCCTTGTAGAACCACCTCATGAACTATTTTTATACTGAATCATAAGACATGCTGGAAAGGACAAGCTCACACTTACCTTCACAGTTGCTTTAACAGAGTATACAGATTATATGATACACCAGTTGATAATGTACCGTCAATTGTCCGTCTATATTGGGTAGACAGTCCTGTTCATAACGTTGAACACACCACAGTAAGCCGTACTTCCTGCTTTCTGGGTTGTGCGATACACTATCAAATACATACAAATACTTTTCTTTCTTATTCTAGCTAAACTTAGACAAGTTGTTGTTATGTAAATCACATACGATTGAGTCTCGCGTGATATATTTTCGAATATTGTTCATTCACAACCAGCAGCTAGCTATCTGTGAAATGAGATATCTCCTAATCCCTCTGATCCGTATATGAATATGAATAGATTGGTCCGCTGATTTACAGGCGACCAGATATTGTGGTCTGCTATAAGAAACAATGGGAATGTTATTGATGGATGTGCTTTAACTGTACGCATTGACAGAGTTATTATTACTGCTTTGATACTGATCGGACACAATTATCTTGCATTCCGGTTGGAAGATATGGGGAATATTTGATCTATAACACTTTGATCTTAGCAGTGTGCTACGGTAATGATATGATGGTATTTGAAGGCAACGTGTGCAGTCGGTGTCTTGGACACGATTAGCTATACATTTGGCCACTATATGGTCTACCCCTGCTGTTAGTTTTATTACTACGTGGTTAAATACTGACATTGATAACGTCTCTATGTCATTTTATCCCCAAAGCTTAAATTTCATAATTATGAGAAGATCCATTGACGATTTGTATAATGCAGTATACAATATTCCTTTTGGCACAGGAAATATTGAAGGTAGACTCACATTTAGCCTTTGAAAAAAACATATTTTAAAGAAAAATACCCAGTTAAAGTACAGTTGTAATAAAAAGGAGCCAGGAGACTTTCTCCATTTTGATAATCTAGACTTGCCCGATATTTTAGACTTGCATGGGCTGTATTGGATGAGATGACAAAATGCGTCAACAAATGGTACTTGCTGTTACCCTGCCTGACGCTCGGCATTAGAAGGATAAAAGAAGTACTGATCGACTCGGAGTCAGTATATGGTGTGTCCATGATAAACTGCAACATGGTACAAAAAACCAACACCAACAGCACGAAAAAACTACTAGCAAGGACACACACACACACACACACACACACACACACACACACACACACACACACACACACACACACACACACACACACACACACACACACGCACACACGCACGCACGCACGCACGCACGCACACACAGGCACACACACACATAAATACACACACGCTCAGATACACACACGCTCACATAAACACACAGACACACACACTCACATTTACGCACACACACACAGACACACACACACATGCACGCACACAAACATCCACGCTCACATACACACACACACAGACACACACACTCACATCCACGCACACACAGAGACAGGCACACACATGCACGCAGACAACCACGCACACAAGCACACACACATAAATACATACATACACACATAAATACATACACACACACACATACACACACACAGGCACACACACATACACACACACACACACACGCTCACATACACACACGCTCACATACACACACGCTCAGATACACACACGCTCACATAAACACACAGACACACACACTCACATTTACGCACACACACACACATGCACGCACACAAACATCCACGCTCACATACACACACACAGACACACACACTCACATCCACGCACACACAGAGACAGGCACACCCATGCACGCAGACAACCACGCACACAAGCACACACACATAAATACATATACACACACACATAAATACATACACACACAAACACACACACACACATACAAACACCCACTGACACACGCTCACACACACGCGCACAGACACAGACACAGACAGACACTGACACACACACACACTCACAGACACATACAAACACCCACTGACACACGCTCACACACACGCACACAGACACAGACAGACACTGACACACACACACACACACTCACAGACACATACAAACACCCACTGACACACGCACACAGACACAGACAGACAGACAGACACACACACACACACACATACACATACAAACACCCACTGACACACGCTCACACACACGCACACAGACACAGACAGATAGACACACACACACACGCTCACACACACGCACACAGACACAGACAGACACTGACACACACACGCACACTCACAGACACATACAAACACCCACTGACACACGCTCACACACACGCACACAGACACTGACACACACACACACACTCACAGACACATAAAAACACCCACTGACACACGCTCACACACACGCACACAGACACAGACAGACACTGACGCACACACACACACACTCACAGACACATACAAACACCCACTGACACACGCACACAGACACAGACAGACACTGACACACACACACACACATACACATACAAACACCCACTGACACACGCTCACACACACGCACACAGACACACACTCACAGACACATACAAACACGCACTGACACACAGACACAGACAGACAGACACACACACACACACATACACATACAAACAC